TACCTTGAAATCTGTAACTGTTAGACTTCTTTTGTTCACTTTTGGTACATTAATTCCCTTAATATTCTTGACCTTTTATTCTTCCCGATTAATTTTGTTAAATCTTTTCTAGCTCTATAAAATAATTCTTTGGTAGTTTTATTGGTAAGGCATTGAATAAGTAACTAACTATATAGAACTGTCATTTTTATTATATTGGCTAGGCCTACCCAGGAGCAATTAATATTTCTCCAATTGTTTAGATCTTTGTGTGAAAAGTGTTTTGTAATTGTGTTAAGATAATCCCTGGGTTTGTATTGCTATTACAATACTGAATGATGGTGGTGATAATGGACACACTTGCTTCACCTTGATCTTATTGGGAAGGCTTCATGCTTATCTCCATTATAGATAATGCTTGCTCTTGGTTTTAAATAGATACTACTTATTGCTTTAAGAAAGGCTCTATTGATTCCTATACTTTCTAGTATAGTGTTTTTAATAGGAATGGATGTTTATTTTGTCAAAAGCTTTTTCTGTACCTATTGATATGATATGATTTTTCTATTGATATGATCAATTATGCTAATAGTTTTCCTAATATTGAACTAGCCCAGCCTTCTTGGAATAAACCTCACCTGGTCATAGGGTATGATCTTTGTGATATATTGCTCTAATCTCATTGCGAGTATTTCATTTAAAATTTTGGGGTCGATATTTATTAATAAAATTAGTCTATAGTTTTCTTTTTTTCAAATTTTTGCTCTCTCTGGTTTAGGTATCAAAACCATATTTGTGTCAAAAAAGAAATTTGGCAGGACTCCTTCTTTGCCCATTTTCCCAAATAGTTTATGTGGTACTATAATTACTTGTTGCTTAAATGTTCGGTAGAATTTACTTGTGAATCCATCTGGTCCTGGGGATTTTTTCTTAGGAAGCTCATTAATTCAATTTCTTTTTCTAAGAAAGAGTTATTTAAGTATTGTATTTACTTTTCTGTTCATCTGGGCAATTTATATTTTTGTAAATATCCAATCCTTTCAATTAGATTGAAAGTTTTACTGGCATACACTTAAGCAAAATAACGCCTAATAATTGCTTTAATTTCATCTTCATTGTGGTGCATTTACCTTTTTCATTTTTATACCAGTAATTAGCTTTTATTCTTTCTTTTTAAGATAAAATTAAACAATGGTTCATGTATTTAATTGGATTTTCACATAAAATAGCTTTAGTTTTATTTATTAGTTCAAGGGCTTTTTTATTTTCAATTTTGTTTATCTCTCCTTAGATTTTCAGGATTTCCAAATTGGCATTTTATTAGATATTTTTAATTTGTTCTTTTTCTAGTTTTAGTTGCATGCCCAATTCATTGATCTGCCTTTTTTATGTATACATTTAGAGATATAAATTTCCCCCATATACTGCTTTTCCCCCTATATACTACTGTACCACGAATTTTGGAATGTTACCTCATTATTGTCATTCTCTTTAAAGAAATTGTTTCTATGACTTTTTTTTAACTCCCTCATTCTTTACAATTAGATTATTTAGTTTCCAATTAATTTTTACTCTATTCTTCCATGGCCCCTTAATTAAATGTAATTTCTATTGCCTTATGCTCTGAACAGGGTACAGTGAACATTTCTGCTTTTCTGCATTTAGTTGTGAGGTTTTTAATACCCTAATCCATGGTGAGTTTTTGTGAAGGAGCCATGTATAGCTGGAAAAAAGGTATTTTTTTTTCTATTCCTATTCAATTTTCTCCAGAAGTCTTTTATCTAACTTTTTAAATATTCTATCCATCTCCTTGACTTCTTTCTTATTTTATGATTAGATTTATCTAGCTCTGAGTGGGGAAAGTTGAGGTCCCCATTTGGTACATATATTTTAGTATTGCTATTACTTCATTGTCTGTGGTTCCTTTTAGCAAGATGTAATTTTGCTGCTTATGCCATTTGATTAGGTCTAGTTTTACTTTTACATTGTCTGAGATCATGATTGCTACCCTTGTCTTTTTTATTTCAGCTGAAGTATAATAGATTCTGCTTCAACTCCTTATTTTAACTCTGTACATGCCTTTCTGTTTCAAGCGTGTTTCTCATAAACAACATATTGTTGGATTCTGATTTCTAATCCATTCTGCTGCCCACTTCCATTTTATGGGTGCCTTCATTCTATTAACATTCAGTTATAATTACTAACTCTGCATTTCCCTACATTCTATTTTCTTTTCTTTATGCTTCTCTCTTTTTATACTATCCTTCCTTCTAAAATCTGTTTTGCTTCTGACCATTGCTTTCTTTTATCTCTCCTCTCTTCAATCACCTCCCCCTCCCCTTTCTCTTACCTCTCCCATTTCCTCCTAGGGTAAGATAGGTTTCTATTGCCAACTGTCTATTAATTACATAAAATTAAAAAGTTTTTCCCACACAAGCAAAAGCAGTGCAGCTAAAATTAAACTAGAAACATATATGAGGAAAAACATCTTTGCAGCAAGTTTCTCTGACAAAGGTCTCATTTCTAAGATATATAAAATAATAAGATTAAAAGCCATTCCCCAGTTGATAAATGAACAAAGGATATGAATAGCCAATTTTCTGAGGAAGAAATCCAAGTTATCAAGAGCCATATGAAAAAAATTACTAATTTACTAAAATTACTAAATTACTAATAATTTGAGAAATGCAAATGAAAATACTTCTGAAGTTCTAACTCACGCCCATCAGATTGATAAAATTGATAAAAAGGAAAATAAATGCTGGAGGTGGCTGTGAAAAAACAGAAACATTAGTGAATTGTTGGTGTGGATGGTGACCTCATCCAGACATTCTGGAAAGCAATTTGGAATTATCCCCTCAAAGCTACTAAACTGTGAATACTCTTACATCTGTACTCCAAAGAGATCAAAGAAAGAGTAAAAGGATTCAAACGTGCAAAAATATTTATAGCAGTTCTTTTTGAAGTAGCAAAGAATTGCTCAAAAATATTAAACTCATCAATTAGGGAATGGCTGAACAAGTTATGGTATATGAATGTGATAAAATAATATTGTAGTGTAAGAAATGATGAAGAAGATGTTTCAGAAAAACCTTGAAAGACTTGTATGAACTGATACAGAATGAAGTAAATAGAACTGAAATATAATTTCTACACTAACAATAATGTTGTAAAGACAAACAACTTTGAAAGACTTAAGATCTATAATCAGTACAATGAAAAATTACAATTCCAGAGGACTCTTGATGAGACATGCTACTTGCATTCTAATAGAGAGGTAGGTGATGGACTTAGTGCAAATTATGACAAATTTTATTTTGGATATGGACAGTTTGGGAATTTGTTTTACTTGGCTATTCTTGATTGTAATAGAGGTTTTCTTTCTTTTTTTTTTCCCTAATGGAGCAGAAGATAGTAGAAGGGAAAAAAGAAGGATCTTTAAAAAAAGAAACAAGAATATTATGGTACAGTTAAGAAATATTAAAAATTTGAAGAAACATGGGAAGAGTTACATGAACTGAGATAAGTAATACTAAAAGAACAATACATATGACAACAACTTAAATGAAAAGATCAGTAAAAGAAAGTAAAGTTTTGAGTAACTGAAAAACCAATAAAGGAGATGGAAAACAGATAATACATACCTCTCCATAGTGCTATGGAGGACTATAATGTATACTATAGTATACATATTCAGATGTCACTGTATTGGCTATTTTTATTTTGTTTTGATGTCTTTTTTAATCACAGGGAGAGCAATCTGAAGAGTGCAAGTTGAAATGACTGATGTAAAGACAGAAGATAGTAATAAAATGTATTTTAAAAATCAAAGTAAATATCACTTTGTAAATGTTATTTAGTATTATTAAATACGACTGGGGCATTAATCATTGAAAGTTAATAGTGTGGGATGGGGGAGGGGCTCAAGCAGAAGGCACCTCTACCTGTCCAGTTCCTACCTACCTTTCAAAGCCCATTCCTTCACTGAACTTTCCTGATCCTTCTCCCAAAGCCAAAAGTGGTCCTCCACAACTAACAGCATTTTGTAAACTCAGCACATTTTTCTCATTTTAGCCTGTAATTTGTGCATACCTCAAATTCCCCTGTCTCAATACAAAGTCACAGAATAAGCCACATTATTAGTCGAATGGATGCACACAGGAATTCAGTTATTTCAGTGCTATGCAATTCTGTGGGTCATTGGAGTTTATGTCTGAGAAAGCCAGAAGTATAAGGAGGAGGGGGGGGGGGGGGACCGGGGAGGAGAGTGGAGGAAACAAAATTTAAAAAGCAGAGAACTACAGTACCTAAAGCTGAAGAAAGGTAGCATGGCCTAGAGAGAGGAGAAACAAAGAAACAGCTAAGCATAAGCATTATCTATCGTCCATCCATCCATCCATCCATCTATCTATCTATCTCTATTCACCTCAATGGTGACATATAGATATCTAACTCTATTCCCATCTAATCCCAATCTGGGGTGATAGTTTGGAACATACACACATACACACACACACACACACACACCAACTTTCTCTCTATGTAATATATACATACACACAT